AAAAGTAAATCAGAAGGGAATTTATAGTAAATAAGCAGGCAAATTTGCCTGCGAACCTCTACAGTTTAAGGGATAAATTTATTCTGTAAATAATAAATTGTTAAAAGAAAAATTTGAATTTATTTGAAATGAATAATAACGAATTCTACAATGTGTTTTAAAAATTCTTGAAGATCTTTCTTTTTTAATAATATTTCTGTAGTTGTTTTAGTAATTTTTAATGATTTATTAATTTTAAGAATAATCTGTTTAAATATTTTAAGTATTAGTATTAAAATATATAAAACCTAATTAATATTTAAAATCAAATAAATACCTTAAAAAAATCATTAATATCGTGATCATTTATATGATCGTAATACTGAAAAGAATTTTATATAATACTAATTTTTTAGTTTATAAATGCAACAACTATTAAATGTTAAAGATACAATTATGTAATCTATTTCTTAAGTCTATATTTTTATCTGCAGCTACACGAATTTGCATCAACTACAGATGCAAATCAGATATAAATTTCAGCCAATCATATTTCTTGAAATTTGCATCAAAATCCGCATCAACCAATTTTGATTTTTTTGACTCATTTTCTTTCGTTAAAAAGTGGCTTGACTGAAATATTTTTTCTTTCCTAAAAATTGGTTTGTTCGAACATGTATGCCGTTAAAAGAGAAAATTATTTTAAGGAAACTGAATTGTCAGAATGGTCACTTGTCGGTTTCTTGAGATGATCCAAGCAACCTGAAGCCTTACAAATGGAATTCGAATATAGCGCATGGAAGAACTTTGTTGAAAATATTGCTAATAACTCTCATCTATATAATGATTCTTTATCGCGAAAGGCTCAAGAAATGGTATCTTCGTTTGAGGTGAAATGTTTTAATTATATGATACAATATATGCTTGGAATCTGTTGGGCGAGCCTTGATCTTATGGATCTTGGTAGGATTCAGTCTATTGCTGGACACATTTGGGTGGTCCCTGAGCTAGGCCAAATGATGGGTCCCTGAGCCTTGTCCAGTCTGTCACTGCTTCCAAGCATATAATTACTATTGATTCAGAACACTAAGTCAACTAAATTTTTTATTTAAAAAATTAATTAACTGCATTGCCTGAATTTAGAATGACAAAAATTCAGAAGTACGGAATTTCTGGGATCAGCAAAAAATCTCTGATCTTGATAATAGCTTGGAAATTTTATCAAAGGAGACCAAATTACAAATGGCCATTGCGGATGTGAGTTTTTATTCTGTCATATATTAATTGTTTGTTACATTTATGTATATTGACATGTTTCTATCAGCTCAAATACGTTATCAATAAATCTGAAGAAGCAACAATCCATTCCGATCTTATTGGAGAAAGACGGGGTCAGATTCTGAAAAGCGAATTGAAACACAAGAGAAAGGTAATTAATGATGTCACAATCCACAATAAAGGATAGTGTAAGTTCATTAATTTATGTATATTTCATTGTATTTTTGTAGGATTTTGATGTCGAAATCGACAATTTCTTTCAAAGTCACGCTGAAAATATCAACCAATGTGGCTTATTAAACGTCAGAAAACAGATGAAGAAATTCCCAACGAAACGGACAATAAGGAAGGCGAGGTATGTTTTTCAATATTTATAGCTATCAAAATCGGGGAAATATCCAGGATTATGTTTACCCATCTAATTTTTTCTCTATGAACAGCTTGCAAGAAGGTAAAAATTCTAGGTAGTAGAGTTAAGAGAACTTAAAAATTCATGTACATTTTCTATATTTAGGCAAAAAAACGTGTGAAGAGTACTACGAAACGAATTATTCAAGCGAAAAGTCTTCCGAGTTTCTCCTGAGGAAGACGAAGGAATAAATTTTGATTTTACCAACGTTGAAAAGGTATTGTTTCGAGAATTGACAAATGAGGTATGCCACGGATCAATTGTTCTTATGCTTTTATTATTTTCCGTATCTCACATATTGCATCCTTTTTTAGTGGGTAGTTGGTACTATTAACGTATCACAAAGATTTAGAGAATACCAGATGGAAGTACTTGAGATCCTTAGCCAGCTTGATCTCGGGTACCAATTATAATTTACAAGTTTTACGCTTTGGATTAAGTTCACTTCATGGTAGAAGATTATCGTTGAACTCTAGCAGAGATAAATTTTCTAACCGAGAGAATCATGGATGTATTATCGTTATCATGTCACAATTTAACTTTGCTCGAAATTCATTTAAGAAGCCAATGATTTATGTTGATCATTCTTCCTGCTGTTTTTAGAGCCCTGTCAGTATCCTTCAATGTTGGCAAATTTCAAGGTCATTTCCCTTTTTTTGAAGTGACCTAGGTCACTTTGTATATGATCACATGATAGATTTCATAGTAAAATCATCACATGATTAGGTCATTTTAAGGGTCATTTGCCAATACTGGTATCCTTTGTTTACTGTTGAAGAATGGAAGGCAATTATGGTCACTAATCCATATAAGATTCAAGAATCTCCTCTTTCACAGGAAATTTTACTACATCTTCACAAAGCATATCATAACCATTTTCTTGGTAATGATGTCTTTATGAATGGTGGTATTAGTGATAATTCATATGCGTCACTAAATGACTGTGCCAATCAAGGTTACCAATGATCACAATGAAAACTGTAATCATCATTTTCATCGATTTCACAGTTGTCATTGTTATATTTATTATAATTATTATAACGTTTATCACTATTTTATTTATTATATTTATTATTATAGTTATATTTATTTTCTTTATTTTATTAAACATCTCTTTTTAATAATTGTATTTTATATAAATATTCTGTATTTTCGCTTTGAAAAAAGGATAAGTTTCTATTTTACAATCAAATAAAATATAATTTTAATAATATAAAACTTATAACTTTGCTAATAACTTTTTTCTTAAAATATAAATTATCAATAAAGATGACCTAACCCTTCAAATTAATTAATTTGTGTTTATTTCTTTCATAGTTTACACTTAAACTCCCTGTTAGCAAATAAGCTTTGTTATCCTAACGACATAGTGTTTAGGCTTAACAGCAGTGAATCAAAATTAAGTAGAATTGTGATATGCGTATTCAATGATTTGTAAGTTAACTCAGTTTATAATAATTACTTATGAGTTACATTATAATATTCTTTTTAACACTTTACAGATATGATTGTATTTCAAACATTGCATCGCAAAAGATGACACTGCTATATGTTTTTTTATCCAATCTCCTGTCCAATATTTTTAGTTAAAAAAATGAATATAAACTAACATTAAATCATACTAATACAAATTCAAAAAGAGGTCAGATCTTAGTTGTATTATAGAAGATATACCAATGCTTAACTCAAAATTTAACCTTCTTGGTAGCATACTATTATAATATAAAAAAAATAAGGTAAAAGTATAGTTAAAGTACAAAAATTGATAAATCAATAATTACAAACAAAAAAAGTTCAGAAATAAGCAGGCATATTATTAAATATAGGTAAATAAGAAATTATAGAAAGTTGTTATTTTTATATATATTAAAAGTTTCTTCTAATCAAGTGATTTGATGCAAACATATTTTATGAATTTGAAATATGACAAATTATATTATTCTTAAATATTCTAAATAACAAAAATGATGGTTGATAAAGCATCAATTCTATTAGTAGATTTTTCAATAAGTCATTTTGTGAATTTAAAAATATGTAATTTTTGTTTTAGTTAACAATAATAAATTTGTTTACAACTTCATTTGTTCTTTACAATAACAGGAATATATTAAAAAAATAATAAAGAACTTTAAATACAGAAAGTATTATATTAATAATAATATACCATTTAAACAAATATTACAGTCAATCTTCTCTAAATGCACCCCCTTAAGACTATAGTAAAAATTTTAAAAAATATGCATTTAAAGAGGATATGCATTTAAAGAGAAAATTTTTATATGAATTCTATATGCTTTAGACTTAATGAGAGCATGTATTTAGAGAGAAAATATATAGTGTATGTATTTAAAGAAAGTGCATTTAGAGAGGGTTGATTATATATATACATGATATATTAGATTCTTTACAGATAAAGAAGTTCCTATAAGATATAGAAACTGGTTAAAATATCATTCTTTAGAATTTTATGATATAAGATTATAGCAAATGATTTTATATATTTTAATTTTTAAAAATTCAATAAGATATATTTAATATTAATATATTAAATAAATAGTATAATGTATGGTATGTATTTTACAAAGTGAAATCTTTAATGTTAGTTTAGCTACTGATTAAATATAATTTACACAACTTTATATAATGAACTCATCACATGTTACTTCATTTATATCCAGAAATTATTATATAATTTCTTAATGATAAAATTGCTAAAAGGATCTTCACTATATTTTTCACTTATATTATAGATACCTGCTGAAACCTCCTTAAAATAATTTCGTCATATTCTTTTCTATATTTTAATATAATTTTGATAGTTTCAGTTTTTGTCATATTGAATGAATTTCATTGTATCTCTTATTATAATTTTAATAAAGTTTCATCTAAGTTTTGACTATTATTAAGAGATTTCGTCCTTTATCTATAACTTATATTAAACCTGATACATAAACATATTATTTTATTACATTATAATAGTTATCAATATATATTAAGCATAAGCAAAGTATATTGAATTTTTAGTCATTAGAACTAATGTCTTAAAGTTATATAGTATATAGGTTATTTATTTCTTTATAATAAAATATACTGCTAAATTTTACTAAACCATATTTTACATATAATAAATGCTAAAAAAGAAAGTTATTTAATATATTATTAGAATGATATTTATAAGTTTGTTTCATTTAATCTGAAACTTAAGAGTTATTAATATTATAAAAATAGCAACTTTTAAACTTTGATGATAATATACTTTTATATATTTTCCAATACTTATATTACGAAATTCAAAGTATTTTTAACTAATACATTTAAAATCAATAATGACATTTTATAAAAGTTCTATAAATAGAAATAATGTTTTATTTAGGTTACTTTCTGTTAATTTTCTTAAAATTCTAAGCTTGATTTTTTTTCTCTTCAATTTCATGAATATTTCCTTCAAAAAATGATAGAATTAATAGCAGATAATTAGTATATATACAAATGTATTTTTTTGCATAAATAATTATATATTAAACTTTTTTAGATAATAAAATAATGATGATGATGACAATAATTAGAATCTTTAGATAATGATAATAAAGAAGAAACTAATAAAATAATTGAATATAATAAATATAATTAACAATAATAAAAAAGTTAACATTAACTTTCTTATTTACTTTTTTTTATTTTTTCCTTTTCATTTAATAAATAAAAAAATATTTTACTTATAAACAAAATTTTTGATTTTTTTTAA